GGACAGTCGCTCGACTTGATGCTGCTGGGGCGAGCGAACCCCCCAAACTGGTACTTGCCCTTAGGCACGACCCTCAATAAACAAACGGGGTACAAACCCCCATGAAAATCTACTCCCTAAATGTGAGAGGGTTAAACCTGCCGGTCAAGAGACACCAACTGTATAGAGAACTTAAACACGCAGATGCAGATGTAATCTGTCTCCAGGAGACACACTATAGAACAGATAACTATATTCCCCCATCAGCGGTCGACTACCCTCACCAATACCATGCGACATCCCCCTCAAAGTCCAAGGGGACCTCCATACTGGTTTCTAAACGAGTAGCATTCACCTTGATCTCCATAGAATTAGATGCAAATGGGAGATAAATGCTATACTAAAATGCACTATAAACAACATGACATACACAATCACGAATCTCTACTCACCTAACGTAAACCAGAGCAGGTTCCTACAACATCTGCTACAAAAACTAGCTACAATACAGGAGGGAATATCCATTATATGTGGGGACTTCAATCACGTATGGGATCCCAAATTAGACTCTAACATCTCGCAACACAGTCCTAGATATAAAATACTCCACAGACACTGCAGAAAGATACAGAACCTCCTTTCCCTACACCATTACTTTGATTCATGGAGAATATCCCACACAGCGGAGCGAGTATATACCCACTTCTCCCATGTCATAACACATACTCGAGGATAGACGGGATTTTAGTACATGGGCAGGGACTCAACCAAATAGCCGACAGCGACATTGGCCAAATCACTTGGTCGGACCATGCACCAGTATCGTTATCGGTCAAAGACCAATACGATTACAAACACCGAAGCCCATGGAGACTGAATGCATCCCTGTTGCATGACAACACATTCAAAAAAGAAATAGAGACCACCCTACACGACTATTTTGCAGAGAACACCACGCCGGGAATGCCCCGGGGCACAGTATGGGCAGCTCACAAGGCGGTAGTTAGAGGGGTTTTATTAAAAGAGCGGCGTACCTACACAAACAATCCTCAACACAACTTACCCAATGGAGACGCGACCTATACCAACTGAACACCCAAAACCAGGTCTCACCATCCAACGACCTTAAAACACAAATATCTAACATTATGGCCAAAATACACCAGAGTGCACTAGAGCAGACGGGGTATATGCTCCAAAGATTAAAAATGCGGCAATACACACAGGGGAATAAAGCTAGCAGATTCCTAGCCAGGAGACTACAGGAACGAAGGGCAAATAAAAAATAGCCTTCCTTGTGTCTCCAACGGGGGAAAAGAAAATGATCCCCACTGACATCTGCAACGAATTTGCAAACTATTATGCCTCCCTATACAACATACATAAAAACACAGAGACTTATCAGCCCACACAGGAACACATTAATGCATATCTGTCCACAATAAACCTTCCAGCAATCACGCCCCAACAAGCAACAGAGCTTACAAAACAAATATCAGAGGAAGAAATCAATTCTGTAATAAGGAACCTACCAAACGGCAAGGCCCCAGGTCCGGATGGACTAGACAATAGTTATTACAAAACTTTTACACATCTACTAGCACCCCAATTAGTACACATGTTCACGTAGGCGACCAATACACAAACTCTCCCCACGGACTCATTACTGGCCCATATTATAACACTACAAAAGCCTGGGAAACCGCCTACGCCCCCCCAAAACTTCAGACCCATCTCTTTACTAAATACAGACGCGAAAATATTCGCCAAACTGTACGCAGTGAGACTGAGCACCATCCTCCCAGAGCTGGTCCACTCGCACCAGGTTGGATTTATATTGGGAAGACTGGTATATACTGACTGGTTTTCGGACCACCCCTCTCAATACAGTAAAACTGCACATTTTAGAGTCACTTTTCATTGTGGCCAGCTTAAGGCACACCTGTGTAATAATCATGCTGTCTAATCAGCATCTTCATATGCCACACCTGTGAGGTGGATGGATTATCTCGGCAAAGGAGAAGTGCTCACTAATACAGATTTAGACAGATTTGTGAACAATATTTGAGAGAAATAGGCCTTTTGTGTACATAGAAAAAGTCTTAGATCTTTGAGTTCAGTTCAGGAAAAATGGGGGCAAAAACTAAAGTGTTGGGTTTATAATTTTATTCAGTGTATATAGTGCTTTTCTTCCGGTGAGACTCAGAGTGCTTATAACAAGCTTATGCTCTTTGAATGAACCGAATCAGCAGCTGAATAATAGATGTTATTGTTATCCCATTGATGGTACTCATTTATCGAGTTCTTTGAGTTCAGCTCATGAAAAATGGGGGCAAAAACAAAAAATGTTGCATTTATAATTTTATTATTATTATATTTTGTCCTGTTTATAAAACTTTTAAAAACAGATTGTTGTAAATATAATATGACTGCGCTTAGTGTGTACCTTTTTACCTTTTAGACAGGACAGGTAAAGCATTGCGAGGAGAGGATAAAAATAGTGTAGCTAAAGCAGTATTGGTAATAAATTATAGTGCAATAGCCTATTTGCCAAAACATTTGATATGCTATTTCTTCAAACTGTTAGTTTGCAAGCTTGTTGTAAGCTTATCACAACTCACTCTGTAGTAAATAAACAAACTTGAGAATTAGTAGCATGGGGATATAGTATGAATTTCTTTGGAAATTATAAGACTGAAATAATGAAGAGATTGAATCCCTTCCCTTATAACAAATTAAACATTACAAGTATTGTTAAACAAAATTTAAAAAATTTAACCCATAATGCCTTCATCTTGTTTATATTTGTTCAGTGTATATAGTGACTTTCTTCCGGTAAGACTCAGAGTGCTTATTACAAGCTTATGCTCTTGGAATGAACCGAATCAGCAGCTGAATAATAGATGTTATTGTTACCCCGTTGATGGTACTCATTTATCGATCTCAGAAGGATGAAGGACCCTCAGCTCTGTGCCTACCATTTTAATAAGGAAGTCTTTTTTTCTGGTGTGAAAAGTGTGGCTAAAGAGTCAGGCTTATGCAAAACATTTATTGGTGCCTAGAGTGTCCCTTTAATAAATATCATATATATATTGTTGTTCCTCCTTTTGTCTTTATTGCATTATTTAAGTTCAACTATCTCTTATTTCATGGATGGCACTCCAAATCACAAAACATAATTGTTTTTCCATGGTCCATTTTGTTTGTTTGGGATTTACCCATATCACTTTTGAGTTATAAATTTAGGAAAACTGATGAGTTCCCAAAGTTCAGATGACTTGCAGTTCATCTGAAAGTAATTGCACAAGTCTAATTTCTTAAAAAAACAGCAATGCATGCAATCCTTAAAATGATCTTTCACTGAGAAGCCAAAATAACAGTTAACCATTTCATTGCTTTCAGATTTGTTTTAAAATGATTGTCATTGGGGATTTTTGCCCTGGTATTGTCAATCATAGTTTATCGCTATTATTTTACTCAGTTTTATTTATTTTCTTATTAACATGAGTATATTTTATTATCAATGCGTCAACACAACATGAAATGTTAACAAAAAATGTAAATCTATATACAAAGTATGGGGTTGTTTGGAGACCCTTTTGGGGTAGAAATTATATCCTAAATGATTTTATTTGTGACCCTATAAAGACCTTTTGTTTCTCAAGTTGCTTATAGTATTAGAAAAATACCAGAATTAGATATAATATCAATCCACTTGACAATCAACTCATAAAGGAAAATTAAATTTTTGTTTTTATTCATGTCATCTTTATTTGTAAATATAATGTTTTCTGAAGGATACATTTTGTTTTCCCTGTTCAACTATATCCCAGAGAGTATAATGCAAATACTAGTAGACAAATATACTACAATTACACATTTGCAATTAGTGCAACTGTTTTTTTATTGATTAATGCAGATGTTTTCAGTGACTTTACACTGATGAGTGATTCTGGATTCAGGAGTAAGCCAATTTATTTCAATGATGAGTACTGTAGTTATATGAGAGAGCATCATCAATTAAAGAGAGTGTTACATTTAGTGAGATAGATTTATGGTTCATCCCTCTAGTCTACAAATGGCATTAACATTGGCATTAGCATTTTTGCACAACCTGTTTTCTACTGGGAATATCTATGTAGATTCAATTTCTAAACAGAAAGTTCAGACCTACTAATAGTACATCTGACTCACAAAACAAGATATGTCTGTAGAAATTCACAATAGGTACATAAAGTATAGGCAGACATAGTTAAGGTCTTAGAATAACCAGGCTAATGGAGAAAATTTCCAAGGAGGTGCTGAGGTAAAAAGATCCCAGAAGGGAGATCATATTTAAAAACAGACCAAAATTTGGGAAACTAGATAATCTCAAAGGCAAATAACGTAAGTGTGATGGTAGTCACCATTACTTTGGATGGAAGACAGACACTATGTGTGGGTCCCCAGATTGCTCCTGTGTTTTGGTCACCATGTGCCCAGGTTACGTTGAATGTATTAATTGCCCAGGTTATGTGTGCCTTTCTCTTTCCCCCTTTTTCCTGTCCTATAGTTTCCCCAGTAGGGCCATGTCCCATTGTTACAGGGACACTGCCAGACCAGTTGAAACTAGCTGCCCTGTCCCTCTTCAATCTCCAATTTTGTTCTCAGCCGTTGGTATTGTCTGGCCCCACCCTTCCTTTTGCTATAGTGCTCCATGAAAATGAGGCTGTGGGGGCATGAATATGTGTGCTATGTATATTAAAGTCAGTTGTTGTTTTAACCTTCACCAAGTGTTGTCTGGTGTTTGGCTCTGATGAAAAGGGTGTCCAGGGCTATAATCCTATAGTTCAGCGTGGAAAAAAGCCCTCAGAGATCCCCGTCAAGCCTCTGCGACTGGGTCTCAAGTGTTCAAGCGTTCCTAATAGCTACGAGGAAGCGGACTTTGTGAAGGTCACAGTACTGGAGCTCTGTTATATTTGGTGGCAGTAGTGGGATGGCGTCCTAGCTATTAGGGAAACACCCCTAGGACCCTTATGAGAGAAAAAAGCCAATCACTCCAATACTTGCCTCTCAAATTCCTTCCCAGACAGGGACCATGCATGGAAGGAATTTGAGAGGCAAGTATTGGAGAGATTGGCTTTTTTCTGAGCCAATCCATCAGCAGATGTGGTGACTGCAGAGTGGGAATAGGAAAGTATGGCATCCTCCAACTCTAACTCTGAGTTCCAGTGGCAAATGCAGGAGGCTCTGTCCTAGTACAATGGGCCTTGCTTGGCAGTGCGCAAACTGGATTGACAGGATGCAATCTTACAGGAACTCTGGAATAACATCCTTGAGGAGGTTAATGTTCTCCAGAGAGAATCCCTCCCAACCATTATGCAGCGATTTTGGGATCAAGTGGATTTGCGGATGCCATTCTTGGGAAAGCGGCCCCTGGGAAAATGTATGTTCAAGTTAGAGGAGCTGGTCCAGACCGGGTCTGAAGTGATCTAGGGTCACTGATAGCTACGAGAAAGTGGACTTGGCGGAGGTACACAGTCTGAACTCTGTTACAATAAGTAAGGTTAGAAATGTAAAAATGCATAGTAATATAAAGTTAAGGCCTATAATAAAGTACCAGGATAGAGATATTAGTGCAAAACATGTTGACTCTACTCAATTATGTGGTAAGAAATACTAGGAGCCATTGTGTTCTGTAATAAAACATTTTACTAATAATAATATTTCTTACCAATATTATAAGAGCAAATTATAATCTTGCAATGATAACTGAATGAGTAACACTTATGTGACAGATTCCCTGTCCCTGGAATATTGTTTTTCTTTGATTGGTTTAGTATGCGAACATCACCGAACAGATTGAACAATTTGGTTCAAATACCGAACTATATACCGAATGGATTCACCACCCAGAACAGTTGTGTGTTGCTACTTAACCTGCCTGACCTCTTTTCACAATTTGAAACCACAATTATCAACATTCTAAGAGGTCGGCTCGGTGGCCATTGTTCGTATTGACAAACACAAGGCGGTGGCTATCTTAACTTTGCAAACGCATCCAGCAATGTTTGGTCGTCGACTGCATGGAACTAAAATCGTCCACTCGATGGTGCAAACACCGCTGGGACTTCCAGCTCCAAGTATGTTTGGTTTAATTGTACTCACTGGAAGTGGGTTCAGTAGAAACAAGCACTCGAACGAGGGGCACACGACCAACTCTCATACGAACAGATACTTTTGGTATTTTATTATGTTTTTGTTCTCCCGAAAGAGACCAACCGCACAGCCTGAATCTATGGAACTCTTTTGGGCAGGCGCCTCATGTGTGGTTGGTCCAAACTATACCCTGGTGGTGTTTCGGTTACGTTCATGGGATCTGAGTGCATTTCGGATATGTTGTGTGCTTAGATCCAAGCAATCTGGGGGTAAAGAACTTGAGGGGGAACCTTATTGTTATGTACTTTATAGTATCTACTCTCAGGTCCAGTGCGGTCCGTTCGGTTGAGATTGACACTGTATGGACCTAATCCTAAACCGACTTTATTGCCCAGGTGTTCAGCGATGTTACAACAGAAGTCAGGGAGAAACGGCAATACCAGCTACATTTGGCAGCGATACAACAAGCAGGCAGCCCAGCTGTGGAAAACAATATACCCCTCTAGAGCGGAAAAAGGTACCCTTCGAAAGGCAGTGTGCATTGCACAAAGTACCCAAAGGGTTGCCGGATACCAAGCAGTATCGGGGAGGATGTGCTACAATTATTTCTCCTAGAACACTTTTTGAATTCACTCCAGCCAGAACTACGGGAATGGATTCGTGACTGGCGACCACTCACTTTGCCTGAAGCTGCCCACCTAGCCGATGAGTATACTGACACTAGGTGGATGAAACAGTCCACCGTGAAACAGTCCACCTTCATGTCCCGATTTCTGGGCTCCAGTACCGTCTCACTGCCCCGATTTCCTGGCTCCAGTACCTCCAGGTCCCACTCGTTACCAGAGACAACCAGGTCACGCTAAAATTCAGTGTCACCGCTGTTATAAGTGGAGACATGTGTGCAGAAATTGCCCCCTGGAGCCTTAAACCTGCAGCACCCCATACCCTGGCCGCTTACTGCTTGGAAGCTGAGGCCAACCACAAGGAATATCTGGGAGTACTCTATGAGGCTAATCCCATGTAAGCAGCCACCCAAGACAACCACCACCATCACTGGCAAGTTGTGCTGGTAGATGGAAAGGAGGCCCAAGAATTACGTGACACTGGAGCTACCCTGACCTTGATACCACTTGGTCCAAGATAAGGCACACCGGACTGTTCAGGTTGCTGGGGGAGCTATCTTTCACCTCCCCACTGCCCGTGTCCACCTGGATTGGGGAATCCGGTCCGGCACAGTGAATGTGGGGGTTATGAGCCAATTGCCTGCTGAAGTTCTATTGGGGAATGATTTGGGTACCTTAACCTCTGCTTACGCCCCTGCGTACCTCAGTAGAAAACTATTACCCCGGGAGGTGAACCACGAGACAGTGGAGAATGAGTGTTTGGCTTTGAAAAAAATAACTCCTTAAATATACGGATGGGAATTTACACTAATGACTCACCACAACCCATTGATGTGGCTTAACCAGGTAGCAGGCGACAATGGACATTATTACGGTGGAACTTGGCACTTCAACCCTACAACTTCACCATCCAATACCGGCCTGGTAAGCAAACTGGCAAAGCAGACGGGTTCTCCCTACAAACCGAGTTCCGCAATCAGTAGAAGTCCGGACATCCACAAGTTGACCCGAAAAGGGTCAAGCCAGGGTCTGCTGGAGTGTTCCATATGGGGTGAGCACTGTGACAGATTCCCTGTCCCTGGATTATTGTTTTTCTTTGATTGGTTCGGTATATGAACACCACCGAACAGATTGAACAGATTGAACAATTTGGTTTGTATACCGAACTATATACCGAATGGATTGACCATCCAGAACAGTTGTGTGCCGCTCCTTAATCTGCCTTACCTCATTTCACACTTTCGAAAACTCCAATTACCAACATTCTAAGTGGTCGGCTGGGTGGCCGTTGTTTGTACGGACGAACACGAGGCGGCGGCCATCTTAACTTCGCGAATGCATCCAACGGTGTTTGGCTGTCAAGTGTATGGAACTAAAATCAGCCACTCGATGGCGCAAACACCGTTGGGACTTTAAGCCCGAAGTATTTTCAGTTTAATTTGACTCACTGGAGCTGGGTTCGGTATAAACAATCTCCCAAATGAGGGGCACACGACCAACTCTCATACAAACAGATACTTTTGGTATTTTATTATGGTTTTGTACTCCAGAAAGAGACCAACCGCATTACTCACACTAGGGGGAAAGGACATCTCTGGCAGCGGAGACCCCTCTTCTCTCGTGGTGGCCGCCACAACTTATAAAAATTAATAACTGCCTTCCAATTACTTCTTGATGTAATAGTTCTACAGTCTCTCATTCCTGACACATATACATCTCTGGATGGAATCCTCAGTCAGCTGCAGATACAAGCCTGGGAAGTGTGTTTCGGGCTTCCATTGATGCCCTTGTATACACCCAGCACATGTCTCTATCTCTAGTCCTACTCAGCCCAGGAGTTGTAAATATCCAGAATCTCTTGCACTAGCTTTGAACAGGCCTTGTATGGCTATCTCATCTCTCATACTCTGTGTATGCTCATTGTTATACAATGTTCCATATACCACTCAGGATGCTATAAACTAAACCTTTAGGGCAACAGTAGCAGAGTAAACATTAACTGCCAATTTTAGTGTAGAATTCAAAACCATGAGTTTGTATCTTTCAGTTATGACTAAGAAAGTTTACATTCAAGCATACTCCAAATCAGCTTCATGAATATAACAGATGAATGTATATCTGTAGGTGTCTTGGGGAAATAGTCAGTTCGTTATACCAGAAGACCAATCTGTTTTTTTCTACAGTTACTCTGTAATAGGATTACATGCTATACATTTACATATTTTAAAGTTTTAATTCTTATAACCAACCTACACAGAAATACATATGGATATAACATACACATATTTGAAAATGCTGCACTTTTAAGAGAACACTATAGGGCATTATTCTTACCTGAATAATATTAAAGTACACATGCATAAGTTTAATACAGAACAGGTAAGAATGGGGTGTAAGAATAATAGCCCCTTCGTAGATTACTTACTTTTGTTCTACCACATATACTTACAAAAATAATTTTGTTCTAAAGAAAGAATCATGTTCTTTGTTTAGCACAAATTATTTTTGTAAGTATATGTGGTAGAACAAAAGTACCTTGCAGGGAGGGGAGACAACAAATGGAGTGCTTGTAGCCCTCGGGAAGCACTAGGAGCAGCCGTCAATGTAGGTACTCAGTCAGGGTGCCAGGTGATCCGTTACAAGTCCCTTCAAAGATTGCTTACTTTTGTTCTACCATATATACTTACAAAAATAAGAATGAATCATGGCAGTCACAAAAATAGGATTTGTTTTTTTGCAATAATTAGATTCATAGTTAAACAAGAATGACTACATGCTTTTTTTTGGTTGACCATGAGGAAATATAGCAATCTATGCTATCCTATACCTTGTTAACCCCTTAGTGACCAGACAATTTTTCAATTTTCTTACCGTTAAAGACCAGAGCTGTTTTTATATATCTGCGGTATTTGTGTTTAGCTGTAATTTTCCTCTGAAACGAGTTTTAGATCTTGATAGTAATATTTCTCATCTTTTCAGTCAATTTTTATTAGCTAGTATTAAGTTTATTTTAACACAATTTTTACATTTGTAATGGTTATTTTAATTTACAAATTAAGGGCACCACCATGGGTACCAAGATCATGCCTAGTTATGCTAATATATTCATCTGGTCTAATAACCCTTTTGGTGCAAACTTGGTACTCTGGCTAAGATATATTGATGATATTTTAATCATTTGGAATGGCTCAGTTGATCTTTTACAATAATGTTTTACTTTTTTTTAATCGTAACGACCAATCCCTGTTTTTTACTCCACAAAATAGTCAGAATAACTTAATTTTTTTTTGGATTCAACAATTTTTATAGAAGATTTTGCCATAACAAAACAAAATGTATTTTAAAGCCCTCACATCTGA